GGCGCAGTTGGCCCTTGAGTAACTACTGAGGGCTAGGTCAAGCTTGTCAGGCCCATGCAATGTAATTCCTCCCTGAACTCCCTGCACAGAGGGGGAGCATGCTTACTACTGAACCCTTTATGGGGTGCACCCTTCTCTCCTTGTGTGCTGATTGCACTCTGCGGGCTAGTGCAGGGTGAGAGATGGGACCATGTCCCCATCTGCTCCCTGTGGGACACCATGCACTCCTGGGGAAGTAGAGACAGAGCAGTACCTGTGATCCCCTGAGCACATGGACTGCAGTTGTGCCTGGCCATTACACCAGCTATGCAAGGGTCAGCAAGAGTCTCCTTGCACCTCACATATATTGCACACCTGTAGTGGTGCTGGAACAATTTTTATAGTGAGCGTACTCAAGGTGGAAACCATGTATTTGGGTAATTATTGCTACTTCAAGCCAGGGGTTGCGGCAGCACCTATGCACACCTGTGTATAGATCAGGCAAAATATGGCCCTGAGTCAGGTGCAACAGCGAGTATCTAGGGAGAGTGTCACTGGGAGAAAACCTATCACCATCCTGCTCAGTGGTGTGATGCCTGTTGTAGTGTTCTCAAGGGCCAAAAAAGTTAAAGGTGTTTATAAACTCTTTGATACTTAGGTTTGGGATTCTATTTTACAGACTTGGTGTACTCGGTGTCTTGGCAAACACCCAAAACCATTCATTCTAAAGCTGAAAGTTTATTGATCAAGCACAAGAAAGAACAAGAAACTAAAACAAGCATTTATAATGAAAATGGAATTGAGTGAGTATGCAAAACAAACTTAATTGAAATCCATTAAAGTCTCTCTCCTTTTGGAGGCGAAATATCAGAGGCTCTTATTTTCCTGAACAACTTTTCTTTGATGAAAAAGAACAGGTTAATGTTACTGTCAGTCCTGATGTGAGAAAAGTATTCCCCTCTCCTGTTTTTAACAAACAGACAAATACAAGGTGAAGGAGAGACGGGATAGAAAAGATGGGGAACATAAGGCTTTGGTTGCTGTTTTGGGAACAAGGGATGGCTGGTTAGTTACGAATGGATGCTTTGGCTGGCAGGTCAACCACAACATCTGTTGCTTGGATCCTGGTTCACATTCCAGTCAGTGACATCATCTGGTTGGGTCTTTTCTCCTTAGACAGGGCAGGATTGTGGTCGTCTCATCTTGTGCTGATTCACTGTAACTGATTTCAGGATTCAGTGAAAAGCCAAGAGGGTGAGAGATAGATTAGAAGGAAAGAAGGGTGCAGAAGGTAACCCAGCAGGGAAGGGAACAGAACAGGACCTTACGCACCTCTGCAGCATTGGCAATTAGGTGTCTCCAGTGATGGGCTGAGGACTGAGTGTCATGGTGATATGATGACTTTCAGGAATCAGAAGTGAAAAACTTCTGCTGGCCTTCCCTTCTGGAAGAAAATCCTTTGGTCTGGTCTGCTCCCTCTGTCTTGGAGTCAGGGAAGATGAGATGAGAATTGAGATAAATTATATTTTTTTCAAAGTCTGTTTTTAAGAACCTTGAAAAGGGGGGGAAAGGGAGTGGTATAGTTCTTCCGCTCATTATTTTTGTCCATCAATTAGGCCTAATATCTGCCACACCCATTTTAGTTCATTAATTTCTATTTTCACATTATCTTTTTGTTTTACCAAGCATGATTTCAACAGTCCTTAAACCATATCCCTTTTTGTTTGGACATATCCAGTATCTCTAACTGCTTTTCTTTCATTTGATCATAGCATTAATTATTAAAAACAATTGGACCTGTTTTCCATGGTTAATTTCCAAGAAAGCAAAAAGTTATAGGTTATTGTAATATGTTATGAACTTTCACATACTTTTTACATTTGAACTTACAATTGGAATCAATTGTTAGGCCCAATAATCACAATGTGCCTTTGGGTATGTCGCCCCAAAGTGGCTGCGCTATCCCATTACCAATACTGCTTTGCACCTCCATTGCACGCACCTTCCATCCAGTGCTCTCAAAGCACTTTGTAAACTAGAACTGGCTGGAAATGTTGCAGGAACATATTGGTTGTGACCAAACTTTTATGGTGAAGTTTTCTCAGGATCAGGATGGAATTTCTGATCATTCCCTGTCCCTATCGATGTGTGAGGGGAGACCTTCTGAGTGCGTTTCTCCACGTATCAGTGCAGAAGGAGAGAGGGAGGTCAGTTGCTTACCGTTGACCACTCAAAAGGGGATTGTAGGGGCAAAACAGAATGGTGGGGCCAAAAAAGAAAAGAGCCAAAAAACCCACCACCCTCAACCCTTGCTACTTCCACATGGGGACAAATCCCACTACCTGTCTCTCCCAAGAGAATAATTTTGAGGCGGTTCAACTAGGGAAACCTCATAGAGTTTATCTCCCTTTCCCCCACAGTCCCCTCCAGCAGGAAAGGGTGATCTGGGCCATCATTACTAACCAAGTAAAATAAAAATCATGCCCCTAAACATTTGTCAATAGGCCCAGTGCACAAATCAAAGGACTTAATGACTAAAGCCCAGCCAAGCACTGCGAGACCCCAGCAGACACTTCCCTACTGATACAGCACCATTTATCACTCCTTCAAAGCCTACAAATGCAACCCTAGGCCAGTAAAAGTGTCTCCGCACCATTAACAAATTTGGTATGTAGACAGACAGATATAGCTATGCCAGGTGTCTATCTCATCTACTGATATCTATCTTATCTGTCAGTGTCAATATCTATAGATGATAAGAAATATATAGCTCTACCCAGAGCACCATCTTCCGGATCTTCCAGAGCATTCTTTTGTTGTCTGTCTAGATTATAAGCTCGCGGGGGGTAAGGACTGGCTATACAATTTCCAGAAGCACCTATGTCCTTCTGAAAGTTGACGGGAGTGAAGCTCCTAAGTGAAATAAGTGCTTCTGAAAATGCTAACCTGTGCCGACCAATAATACTCTTTATCCCCTAGTAATGACGATAGTGGCAACAAGATGCCCATTGGTTTTTGTCCTTCAGCCAGTTTTCAGTCCCTATGCTGGTGATCTAGGCCAGCTTGAATGAATATCTTAAATTGGGTTTTGTGCGGTATCATACCACACAGTTTGAAGTCGTTCAGAGAGCATCACAATGGCTACATTCCTTTTATCTACTAACTAAACTTCTGCCATTCAATGAGCGCCATCAGGTTTCTCCGTATGACTCAGCCTGAACTGCACAAGGATGTCGGGAGTTGTGCACTTCTGGGAAAGCCTCCTCGGTCTGTGTTGGAATTAAACAGGGATTGGGCTCAGTGCCCAAGACTGTATTTCAAACCCACTCGCTAGCAGCTCCACTTAATCTGAAGCCAGGTCTACACTTAAAGCCAGTGCACAACCTCAATAGCTAGGAAGTCAGTGGGGATCAGATGTTGGGAAGGAGACTTTCCCACCAAGGCTCCAGAGCAGCTGTTGCAGTCTGAGTTGCAGTGGCCCCTTCTGTGGGCCACCTTTGTGCGGGGATGATCCACGTAGCCAGGGATCCAGTAGCCCCCTCCCCTCTGTGGCCCTTGTTGATGAAACACCAGAAGTCCCCTGGAAGCCGTGCTCTGTGGCACACCCAAGGTGGGGAGCATAAAGACACAGAATGATAACACAAAAGTGCTGCTACAGGATGTCTCCCTAAGCTGGCTAAGTTCTGTTTATAAACTAAACAAGTTAAAAATAGAGGCCCACCTACTCAGCTGGTGTGAATCCCCAAAGCAAATTTGAGGCCATTTAGAGCCACACTGATTCACACCAGCTGGCCCCCGATCAGTGCATCTCATTCTCACAGGAAACGTATGCACATCACAATGGTTCTTTCTGACCCTCACAGTAGGAGTTGATGATTAATCAATATTACTATCATTGCTATAATCATATGCTACAATGATAGCTGTAATGAGTCAAAAAATAGTTCAATCACTGATAGGTCAGTGCAGAAATCAGGCTAACTGACTTCATGTGTGCCCTTACGTGCCAGTCATGAGGCCCATCATCCTGGGTTGGAATTAGTAGGGAGCAGGTGTTGCGTGGTTGAGTAGTGGGAAGCAGTTTGGGGAGAGGGAGCTCATGCATTCTGTCACAGCGAGAGCTGTGGAAGTCCCTCCATCCCCAGGGCTGCAGAAATGGGAACAGAAGGGGGAGAGGGTGGATGACTATGCAGCATTTAGGATATAGGAAAGGTTACCACAGCCTGGTCAGGCCGTTCAGCTCCCACACTGTGGGATGTCTCAGGGCCCTGATTTAGCCCTTCAAAAAATACTTGGTTAATTAAAGATACTATTGTAGCCCGGAGGCCTGCTGAAAGCTATGAATGTCCCCTCTGTACAGCACATAAGAGATAAGTATTTAGGTTTAACACTTTATTTTTATTTCCCCCCTGGTGTCTCTAACGTTAGATGAACTCCAGTGTAATGACTCGGGGTGGTCCTATTACATTCACAGATATTGTTTTGAAAGAAAATAGTGCCCAATAAATGGCACACTACTTTCCATTCTGACTCTTTCCCACAGTGAAATGTATAAGTGAATGCAGACTGTGGAATGATTTTCCTTTAGCTTATCCTTATACCGTACACCAGCTTCAGACTATTAGCCTTGTCTGGTGTAGATGAGCGGCAAATAATAATGAATATAATAGTTCCAACATTTTCAAAAGTGACTAGTAATTTGAGGTGCCTCCATTTTTTGAGAGCTGAATATCCTGCTTCTGAAAATTTGACCCTTTTTAAGGTGTCTTAAGTTAGACACCCAAAATTGAAACATCCAGAATCGCTAGTTTCTTTTGGTAATCTCAGCCGATAATTGTGTCTCTGCATGATTCTGCAGTAAAGTACTTATTGGTAAAAATACATTTTTTCCTTCAAATGAGCTACCTGATAGGAGAATAGAACATAACTTCTGAATGTATTGCTTGCTAGATCATTTTGGTTTTATCAATCAAATATTAAATAGAAGACTGGATTTAATCAAAGCAATTTTCTGTTCCCAGACTATCGTTAGAGGAAATAAACCTCAAAAGGATACTTCAATCAATGGCCTGCTAGAAGAATTTGACAATATCTCAGTGACACGCTCTAATTCCCTACGGAAGGAAAGTCCTCCCACTCCACACCAAGGAAACTCAAACCATGTACAAAGCCACCAGGAAGAAAATGGTTATATCACATATTCTCAGTATTCCAGCGAGTCGGACACCACGGCAGACTATGTCACTGAAAAATATAGAGACAAGAGTCTTTATGGGGAAGAGTTAGACAGATACTGCCAAGGTAGCTTCACCCCAAAACAGAATGGACACGTGATGAAAACAAAACCCAGAGACACCTATTATTCAGAAATTAAGCCCCTGAAGTCAGACATCTCAAGGTTCCTTCCAGATTACCATACACACATGGAAACAAAAAGCAAACCAATTGAGTACAGTGGCCTAAAGTTGGAATATCAAAGGATTCTTAGTGGATCGTCTCTAGACTACAGAGAACCTTTTCACTACGCTCCATCTAGAACTTCAGTGCAGAGTGAGTGCTCAAAAGAGAGACTGGAATACAGTGACAGCGACTGGGGAAATGGACCAGACAAGGATGACTATGACAAAAGACCGAAGTCGTCCTATGTAAACCAGACAAGTCCTCAGCCAGCCATGAGACAGAGATCCAGATCAGGTTCGGGTCTTCAGGAACCAGTCGTGCCATATGGAGCAAGTGCTTTTAAATCAAATCAGCAAGGGCATTCGTATAGTTCATACACCTACCCTCGCTTGTCGGAAACGGCAGGAGGCATTCCAAAGGTAAAATTAACATCTGTCGGTGCTATCGGTACAGGCCATCGCTTTCACAGGTGTGACCGACTGTTTCCAAATGTGGTTGTATAAAGCTGAGCACTTGAATCCATAGTGAGGCACCTAAGTAAAAATGGCCTGATTTCCTGACAGGCTCAGCACCTATAAGTCCCATTGATTTCACTGGGAGCTGCAAGTGCCCAGCAAGTCAATACCTTTGAAAACCAGGCTGGTTTTCCTTAGGTGTCTGAATAGGTGCTTCACTTTAGCCCCCCCCCACCACCACCACCCAGTTTGTATATTTTGGCCATAATCTTTTCTTTTTCCTCTAAAACACTGAGGAAAGAGCTGTACCGTAAAGGATTTTCAAGGGTTACCAATTAAAATGCTACATCTTTTAATTGTTAACCCTTGAAATTCCTGAAGTTATGGTGTCACGCTGTCTGGAGTGGTTCACGACTGTGCCTCCCTCAGGACAGACTGTCAAAAGCAGGGCTGACTCCTGCACACACACACCCCCGGACCGTCTATCGTTAGATTTCACTGACCCAGTACCAAATACGAATGCCCAGAGTACTACAGTAACCTTAGAATCATAGAATATCAGGGTTGGAAGGGACCTCAGGAGGTCATCTAGTCCAACCCCCCGCTCAAAGCAGGACCAATCCCCAACTAAATCATCCCAGCCAGGGCTTTGTCAAGCCTGACCTTAAAAACCTCTATGGAAGGAGATTCCACCACCTTGAGTCAGAGACTGTTCCCTTAGACACTCCACTCTATCTTGCCACCCAAACAAGCTGGACTATGTGATAAATGGTCACTTATACCAAAAAAATCACAAAATATTCAGGTTTCACCCAGTCCCAAAAGACCAGTCACTCACCCAGGTCAATTTGCATCCTGGGTCTCACACCAAAAACAATGCTGGTAGCCAATTCTATAGTAAACTCGCTAAATCTTTATTAACTCAGACAAAGGAATGAGAGTTACTGAGATGTTAAAGCAAATATATGTACAGTTGAATCACAGTCTATAATTTCGAGGGGTAGCAGAGATGTAGTAATCTGCCAGTTTCCCAAAAGTCTTTTAGGGCTAATCAGAGTAACTCTGGGGATCTCCGTTTTCTCATTGGTTATTCTTCCGTGTTAGAATCCACAGTCCAGAGATGAAGAATTTTTCCTTGTGTCCATACTTAGAATTTCTTCTCGCAGAAAACAAGCTGACAGGATGACTGCCCACAGGGGTGGGCGGTGTCTTTCTTTGATGATGGAGCGCATTTAGAGTCTTCGATCTCTGATCATCACACACAATAACCACTGGCCTTTAAATGTGCAAGAATTAGCACATGCCTGTTACAGTTCTTCATTTGCATTACACAAGGTGTCTTTCTCATTTGATGGGTTATTTAGTTACAGGGATATAGACAATGTAAATGTTTGCTATTCCATTATAACAGGATACAGCTATGTGGACACCAGACATGTAACATCCCATTAGTTTTCATGAAGTTTAAACACCAAATATACTCTTATATATTTAACATTCACTTTGATCTATACCAGGGGTAGGCAACCTATGGCACGTTTGCCGAAGGCGGCACGCGAGCTGATTTTCAGTGGCGCTCACACTGCCTGGGTCTTGGCCACCAGTCCGGGGGGGCTCTGCATTTTAATTTAATTTTAAATGAAGCTTCTTAAACATTTTTAAAACCTTATTTACTTTACATACAACAATAGTTTAGTTATATATTACAGACTTATAGAAAGAGACCTTCTAAAAACGTTAACATTTATTACTGGCACACGAAATCTTAAATTAGAGTGAATAAATGAAGACTCGGCACCCCACTTCTGAAAGGCTGCCGACCCCTGATCTATACTAATACACAAGTGAATTGGCCTGGTTTCCAGCTGTGACTGTGTCAGTTCTCAGCTGACACCTCGGCCTTGGCCAGACCTGACACTTGGCTTGCCAGCGTCACATATAGATCTTTCCTCAGTGTTACACAGGGAAAATGGCCAAAATATACAAACTTGGGGGCCTAAACTGAGCCACTTAAGTCCACAGTGAGATGCCTTAGGGTACGTCTTCACTACCCGCCGTATCAGCGGGTAGCGATCGATTTATCGGGGATCGATATATCGCGTCTCGTTAAGGGTACGTCTTCACTACCTGCAGTATCGGCGGGTAGTGATCGATTTATCGGGGATCGATATATCGCGTCTCGTTAAGACGCGATATATCGATCCCCGAACGCGGTCCCTGTCGACTCCGGAACTCCACCGGAGTGAGCGGCGATAGCGGAGTCGACGGGGGACCCTCAGCCGTCGATCCCGCACCGTGTGGACCCCAGGTAAGTCGATCTAAGATACTTCGACTTCAGCTACATTATTCACATAGCTGAAGTTGCGTATCTTAGATCGATCCCCCCCAAGTGTAGACCTGCCCTAAGTAAAAAGCAGCCTGGTTTTCAATGGTATTGACTTGCTGAGCACTTGCAGCTCCCATGTGCTGAGCACTTCTTCCAAGGGATGAGATCTGTTTTATTGTTGTATAATGTCACATTTTAATGCTTACAACATGTGCTGGGTTGAGAGCACTGGAAAACTGTTTCTATCTACCTCCTGAACAGAAAGCAGCAGTCGAAGCTCTACCACAAATACATTGTGACCGTATGCCGGAGGGATGTGAAAGGCTTGTTCATTCTCCATGCCCACCCACTCTTTAGTTTCTCTGCTGATGCTGCCACTCAGAGTTCTAATTAGTGCCCGGGCCCATTAGAGGTTAACCAAGGGAGGTTTAGCCCAAATGAAATTCAGGCAAGCGTTTTGAGTTTGGGTTTCAGGCCAAACCCCAGGGACAGAAGAGTTCCCAGCCACTAAGTGTCTTCAGTTGCCCCTTCTGTGCTCATTTGTGTTAAGCAAAGTCTAAGCAATGTCATTTATGTCTAAGGGATGTTTGGGTCACCTGTGGCTAACTCAAGCACGATGCTTTTCTTAACCAGTTTGTTATATAATTTTTTTAACATCGGCTTTAATAAAATTTGTAAATTTGCAGGATTGGTCCCTTAAATGGGACTGTAGACAGAGGTATATTTTAAAAGGATCAGTGCACTTTGGCTCTTTGGAAAGATTCATTGTCAGCTATGCGTTCCTTAGAATACTGAAAACATTCCTACAACCTTGATGCACTTGATACTCGATGATTCACCATTCTCTGCATCAGTTACAATGCCCAGCTCCATCAGCAACTCCAGGAACTGAACAGCAGTCTTTTTGTCTACGGATGATTGCTAGAGAGTTTCCTCTTCAGAGAGGCATTAGAGAGACAATGGTTTATTAAATGAGTTTACTAAATGAGAATCGGGTCGTGAATCAGATATCTTACCACTGAGATTGCCTTTAAAGTATAATTAAAAGGGAAAAAAGTAAGTATTGAAAAAATCTGCAGACACAAATGCATGGCTTTAAAAATATATTCAGGAAAGATAGTCATTACAGCTAATAAGTCTGAAGGGTAGATTTAGTTCAGTATTACTTGCAGCTGTTTCATCTGATATACCATGTACCTCAGATTCATCCCTGGTGTAACTCAAGTGAATTCAGTGATGTGACACCAGGGATGTATTTGGCCCTATGTATTTAACTCCAACTTTACACTGGGATCCAGGAAGGTGGCTCTTCACACATGCATACTGTCTCATTGATTTATCGGATCGGACTGGTGGTCCAAGTAGAAGGTATCACGTCTCCAACAGTGGACCGTACTACCTGCTTCAGAGAAAGGTAGGGCAAGTTTCTTCCTCACCTCCTTCAGTAAGAGGTTGGTTTGTGCCCTTTGGGTTTGATCCAAAGCCCGCTGAAGTCAAACTTGCCTTGAACCAGGAGGGTTTATATCCTGTATACATTTTGTTTCCTAGCTGATGTAGCTGTGGATGTTTATGTAAACTTTCATCCTTTTTTTAAGCATACTAATTTCTTGGCCTTTATGATACCTTGTGGCAATGAGTTCCAAAGATTAATAATGTGTGCTGTACTTTTACCAGCTTTAAATGTGTCACCTTTCAGTTTCACTACATATCCCCTTGTTCTTAAGGCATGAGGGGGTAAATAGGATACCAATCTCTGACACTTTACTAGCTGGGTTTGGTATCTCCTTCTATGTAGAAGGCTGATCAACAAAAATTTTGCTTCTCTGCAATATCCTTGTCCCACTTAAGCTTATCCCTTTGTTCCCTGGCTGCCTCAAAGACCCACCTATTTTCTCGCAGGTTCCCCGCTTTTGGAATACACATTTCTTGTTATTTGTTTATATGTCTTTGGCTATTTGCTCTTCAAATCCCCTCCTCACCCTCCTAACTTCCATTTTACATTTTTACTGCCAGAGTTTGTTCCTTTCCCTTGGCTTCACTTGGGCTGGATTTCCATTTTTGAAGGATGCCTGTTTGGCTTTTACTAATCTCTTGCATCTTACCATTTAAACATAAGAAACATATGAACATAAGATTGGCCATGCCAAACGTCCATCCTGCCCAATATCCTGTCTTCCGACAGTGGCCAATGCCAGGTGCTTCAGAGGGGATGAACAGAACAGGCAATCATCAAGTGATGATTTAATCTCTGCTGTTTTGTGTTACCTTCTTGCTTCATTTTTTAGTTTCGGGGTACACATACCTCTAGATACTCTCTTGTCCTATGATACAGAAGTCTCCATGCAGAGGGTAAGGATTTTAATTTACTCACTTGTAGGGTCTTTTCTGGATTACCCATCTTCACTTTTTTTTTAATTCCCCTCTTAAAGATTAAAGCCACAGTGCTAGTGTGTGACACAGCCTCTCCCATGAGGATGTTGAACTTAATTATAGTGTGGTTACAAGTATTTAATGGAAGTTGGGATTCCCTCCGAGACCTCTTTCCACTCGCCTTCCCAAGAACTCAGTTTGACTCCAGAATTCGTCACTCGGGTATCTTTATTTGGCATAGAGCAATGCTATGCTGAGTTGATCAGAC